GAAAAGTAATCTCTAATTTTATTTTTGTAATAACTCCATGCAAAAAAAAATACAGAACCTTGGCAAGTTCATGCCAGGGTGTTCCTGGTCATAAGAAAATTTTGAAAAAGTACATACCCTAAATTGACACAGAAAATATCTGAGGAAGAGAATATTTCAGAGGTAAATGAAACTACTTTCTCTGCTTGAAAAGAGAAGAAATGTGATAGTATGATTCTACAAAGAACCAAAAACCTTGATATAAAAAATATTTTATTGCCTCTACCTTTCTGTTGTTCTATGTGTACTATTTCAAAGATTTATTTTTATGCAATCAAGAGAGGGCTTCGATATTGTTCACAATGCAGTAAAACCCTGAAATGTCTTTGAGGCTGAAATGACCTTGGAGGATAATTAAAACACCCTGAAAGCTACTGTCTATTTTGTTAGCACTGGATAACAATGACTTGTTCTAACAAGTTATCTTATCAGGTTTTACCTGTAGTTCCTATGCTAGATAGCAATCCAGTTCACATTTTTACAAATGTGATGTTTAAAACATGTCAATAAATATTTTGTACATAATGACAGTTTCCTATGAATAGCTTACAGACTTCCTCTGAAATCGTTCTTATTTCAAATGCCAGGATAAGAACTTAAAGGTTTGTAAATTATTTCTTGACCTACATCATTTTGTATTAAAACAAATGCAAAATGTTCTTCAAAATAAAACTGTGTAATAATTTTATTATACCTGGGAGTCCTTTTACTAATATTTTTTCACCAAGAAGTTTCAAAGGTTAAATTCAATTTGCAGTGTTATAAGAATGGGAGGAAATGTGTGGAATAGGGAATCAGTCTGCAGTGTCACATCATGCAAGTCTTTTATGAATGGTTGCTGTTAACCACAAAGAAATAAAACAGAGTAGTCATGTGCAAAAGGGATTACTACTTCTCCAGAGACAGACCTATGGAAATGATTAGGAAAATTTGACTAGAATACCCTGAAACATCTAAATAAATTTTCCATTTATTTATGGAAGCTGTCTTGGGAAGCTCTTGGGTAGGTTACCCAGCAATATTCACTTTGTTACACTTTCCCAGCTCACAGAAACAAAATTTGGGAGGCCAAAATGGAGCTATCCCTGTGAAGTAACAATGAGTAGATTTCAAAGTTCTACCAACTGTGGTAAAGCCACTTCTGATAACCATCTTCAAGGCAACTGACATTAAACTTTATAAAAAAAGGAGGAAAACAATCTCAGAATTGTATTTTGTCCGTACATGGACAAATGTGGTAACAAGTAATCAATATATGCATAATTATGTTGTAATTGGCATCCTTAGAATACTACCAATCATAGTAATTAGTACTAAAAACCTAGAAGTTCTCTCAACAATTAAATCATTATTTATGAGACTCCAAATTTTTTAAAATATGTATTTAATGAGAGAAAATACTAGTAAAGAATTAAACACTGGTAAGTATTCTACAGTGAAGTAAATTCACTGAAAAAGTGAATCTATAACATATTCATATTTGAACAGTGTCTTTTTTTGGAGCTTGGCTGACAGAAGAATTGAGACTAAAAATTGTAATAATGTAATAAGATATGCTTGTGTTCTCCATCTTCATTTTAACTATAATATAAAAAGTAATTACTTTTATTATTATTTAATGATATATATCTATATTTTTCTATAATTTAATATATTTTAAAATTATTTAATTACTTTCATTGTTATTTAATGATGTATTATATATCTAAATTTTATATAATTTATTTATGCTTTTATTATTCTAAAAATCCATTTTTATGTTTATTTTATAGAAAATGTAATTCCAAGCCCACTTTTCCAGTGTTCATGTAGCTGCCTAATCTGGTTGCAGACTTATTGACAGTGGGCACTTGGCAAGGATTTTAAGGTTGTGGTGCACAAAATCTTACATAAACTGAATACAATGCAATTTTACAAAAACTGCTATATTGTGCTGCTTTTAAAAGCACTTCTCATACTGAAACAACTTGAGTTGAAATGTGTGCAGAAAAGAAATGTTTTTGGTTTCTTTTCTTTCTTAATCTCATTGTCCCCACCCAGAGACCTCCAGCTGCCTGGAGCATCTGCAGCAAGCCATTGCCAAGGAGATGCTGGTGCTCTCCCTTGCAGTACCATTGCTGGTCCAAGCATGCTGGCAGGTCTAGTAATTCTTGAATTAAACAGCTTTTACAGTGTTGAACTAGTTTTGAACACATAATATATTATCTACATATTTATAGAATTTATATCTGGGTAGAATTGGCAATAATCAGACTGTATTGTTTTGTTAAATAGGCAAAACTCTGGAATTACAAGCTGTGTTCTGCAGTCCAGTAAGGTGTAAAAGATGGTTAATTGTAGCTGTGAGACTGCCAGTTCTCCATAGGATATGTCAGAATAACCTAGACCTGTTTTAAGAACCCTTTGGCAGACTTGACTCTGCTGAAAGTCAGTACAATTTTAACAAGAACTCAATAACAGCAACCAGGTACAACACAGTACAAATTAATGGTAAATTGATGCTACTTAAAGATTTCCCCAGGGCAACAAACCCTCCAGCACTGCATCAAAGCAATCTCATGAGGGAGCCTCAGTGCTCTATAGCAGGAATTAGTAAAGCAATAGCTCACAGCAATGAAGATGATCAAGTGTTTAGAAAGAGAGGAATCTGCAAGATGTCTGTGGATGGTTAGAACTGCAAGAAAAGATGGTGATGTTTCAGAAGAAATGCCTGATTATCTGATTTCTCAGTGCAGCAATAAGCATAAGACACATGAATACCTAACCTTGCCATTTACTCCTTGTTTTTAGAGCTTGGCATAACAGCAGAGAGGTCTGTGCATGTTCAGTGGTAAGTTATGTAAGCCAGTGGCCAGTTAATCCTCTGAAGTTGCATAATAACAATTCCCATCTTGCATGCCTGGAGTGGAAACCCACATTGTAAATCTGCAAATGCAGGAATTTCAGTGTCTCACCTTGCCAAACTGCCTCCCTTCTCAACTGCACAGGACTGTGGTAAGTCTCACCAGTGTATATAACTTAAAATATCCTTATTGTATTTCAAATGACATTAGAACTTATTGAACATCCTTAAAGAAAAATCTCACAAGCATAAGTGCTGAGAAAGAATTATCTGCCATGAGGAGGTACACAACACACAGTCCATGCTTTTCTCAAAGAGCTCACCAGAGGAATTGTCTCCTTAACTCAGCTAATCAATCACCTGTGATGTGAAATGTTCTTGTTCTTCCCCTCATTTCAAAAGAATGCATCACATACATAGAAAGGGTTTACCTGTCTCCCTTTGGAGCAGAGTTCACTGCTGTTATCTTCCATTTTCAGTGGCTTTGTTTGTGTTTCTGCAGATGCTCTGAGGAATTAAGTCCTTTCCTTCAGCAGAGCTTCCAGTCAGTGCCTGACAGAGAGCAGCAGCAGGTACAAGTATCTGCCTTAAACATCTGCAGTTGTCCCTCCAGCCAACATCTGACTCAGCAAGGTTTCTACAGTCTGTTAAAATTGTGCAAAATTCCAATTTTTTTGCTGAAAAGATGTTTATTCTCTTTGTCACAAGTCCTGAGCAATCTTAGGCTACAGAAGATTTTACTTTATGATTTGACATCTGCCTTAGTCAGAAGTTACTTTGGAATACTTAATAAATACAAAATAATCAATGGAATAATTTTCCTTCAGTGAGTTCAGTTTCTTTAGTTTTTTTTTTAATCAGTACCTGAAAGTTAATTTGACATCAAAAACAGCCATGAAAGCTCAAGTATCTTAACTTACACATCTGAAAATTAAAAAGCATAGATTTAAGTCCTAACTAGAATATGGCATTGGTTCACTGAATAAGATATTTGCCTTCTAATTTAAAAAGACCTCTTCTCATATCATCAATATCTGACCTTATACAGTTATTTTGAGTAACATTTCATTTTAAATATAGTTTGGTAATTTTTCTAAATAAAATTTGAGTGATAGCAAGGCACCATTCAGAATATTTACTGATAAATATCTTTTGCAGACAATCATCTGAGCAAAGACCAATCACTTTAAGGATGTTATACAAAGTGCAGATCTCTTACTGCTAGAGTGGTAAAACTACATCAGCTTAAATTGTGAGCAGAATTCTACTAAGTGCTTTGTTGAAAAAAAATCAAAAGCAAAACAAAACAAAGAGGAACATCATTTTTCCAGTAGATTTTTATAAATCTCAACTCCAGTTCTGCATTTTTAGAAAAATAAGTTCTGATGAATACACTGTGTGTCTTCTCCCTGAATGCTCTACAGTTAGAGGCTGCTGAGCTTAGTGAAACCTAAATCTGAGTGGGATTTGTAAACTGTGCATTCCTTTCATAAAGGAAATGTTTGTCATGTTTGACAAACTCTGAGCACATGCAGGTTCCTCCCTTTCCTATGAATTCTGATACAAACTAATTCAGCTCTTGAATTTGGAATTGCATAAGTGCTTACATTTACTTGACCATTCTCTGCAGGATGTGGTGATTACTGACAAGCTGTTCTCCTGGGTAAAATTTGTAGCAGTTAAAATTCTTCAAATAACATAATAATTTTCAGAGCAGCCCACATTAATCTCTTCCATTCCTCATACAGTCACATGGTATTTCTTGTGATTTAGAAACAGCTTCTTTTCAACAGAAGATTTGAATTTACCACAAAAGGTCATATTTAATTAAATTTGTGATTCTTGGAGTGTTCTGCACAGGGCCAGGAGTTGGACTTTATGATTCTGATTGGTCCCATGAAACTCAGCATATTCTATGATTCTAAAAAAGGAACTTAAGCCAGCTGATTTAAAAAGATGAGTAGGTAGTCTAATACAAAAAAAAATTATTAAAATTAATAGCTATTGTAATAGGATATGTTGTTTTGCATATTTATCATGTTGGCATATTCAATATGAGATACGAACATGTGGATGAAAGCCTAAATATCAAATGATATGAAAAGATGAGAATATTAATTTATCTCTGTGTTTCCAAGGTCTTGGGCTTATATACAGGAACATTCTTCTCCTGAAGTGATGGCAGGCCCTTAATTATATCTGCAGCTTTCTCTGCTATCATGATAGTTGGGGCATTCAAGTTTCCAGTGACAACACTGGGCATTATTGAAGCATCAACTACTCTCAAGTTTTCAACACCAATGACTTTTGTTTGGGGATCCACTACAGCGGTGCTGTCTGAAGGCTGACCCATTTTACAGGTGCAGGAAGGATGATAAGCACTATCAGCCTTCTGCCTTATGAAGGCATCTATGTCTTTGTCAGACTGAACATGATTTCCTGGTTGAATTTCAGGCCCGCGAAATTTTTCAAAAGCTTTCTGAGCAAAGATCTCTCTGGTCAACTTGACACACTGGCGGAATTCCCAAATATCTCTTTCTGTAGAGAGAGAAAAGGAGAAAATTGTAAGTACTCATTTAATTTACCAGTATACACAGAATGCAAAACAGAAAAAAGCAGCATTGTGGGGAAAAAAGCTGGGAGGAAAGTCTCACTTCTTGCTGAAAGCCATGATAAAGCAGAATATTTTTTAAAGTCACAGATATTTACATCCACTGTGAACAAAACTGTTGCTTATATTGCACTAGCCCAAAAGGGAAGATGTGAACTGTGAGGAATTGCACTTTATCTTGATGTGCCCACTGTCTAGGAAAAGGAAAATAGACTCAGCACAAAGGAGCAAAAGACATTAATTCCTTCACAAGCAGAGGTGGTGATGAAACAAACAGCAAGACACTGCAGATACTGAGAATTCTGACTTCATCCCCAACAGGAAATTCCTTCTAGCTTACACACTGCTTTGCACAATCACCTCTTATCATACTAGTTGGCTTTTATAAATGAGAAATAAGTAACAATGTACCAACCAGCACTTCTGAACTGTGTTAAGTAGGTACAAAAATCAGCTCCTGAAACAGGCAGGAAATGAGCTGACAGAGCAAGGAGAGGCTGCAGTTACCTGTAGACAGGTAGTTGGGCTCAATGATGGGGTGGTCATTTGGGTCTGAGCTCTTCAGCTTCAGCCAGCCCACACTTGTGCTCCTCATGGGTCCCACGTGGACCTGCAACACCCAACACAATCCCACCAGGTCTACTTCCAAATTCAGCATGGCTGTTTTGGGGTTTTTATTGCAATTTAGACAGACTTTACAAATTCAGCAAATATAAACATTAACCACTGATAGTGGAAAATACCATTGAGCATTTTTCCATTTTATATAATTTATTTTGTAAATATGTAATTCCATTGCAGGGAGTGAATATGCCTGTCACTTCAACTCACAGCTGTTCTTTTCATTTAAAATACAACCATTCCATTTAGTAGCATCAGAGCATTCTAATACAATCTGCAATTGGACCAAATTATTGTGTCTCTGAAGGAAGGAGATCAGTGAGGAAAAACATGTATATTCAGTGACAGTTCCCCAGAATTAGCACTCAGAGTTTTGGATTAAGATGATAGTCTGAAAAGGGGCTTGGATTTGTGCCAGTGAATTAATACGTGTTTCTATACATTTTCACTTAAACCTTTGTCTCAACTGCAGAGGAATGGTTTTGTTCCATTGTAAAATTGTGTCCTAACCCATAGCACTAGGGCACTTTACTTCAGAGTGAATACTTCATTCAATACTTGCCTTCTTTCCCAGAGATAAAAGCTAAGATAATTTTGGTGGCAGTATCAAATAACAAGGCTGCGTTTTCTCCTCTGAAGGAGGTTAAGCAGTCTATTTCATATTAAACTGAACACAATATTTTTCAGTATGTAGCCAAATTATCAACATTTATTATGGAGCATAAATCTCCTTGCTAAAGGCTACAAAGCCTTTCTGGAACATTCTCTTTGCCTCACCTGGTAAGCTTCCATAGTGGAAGCAACCCGACCGTGGTCAATCACCTGGGAAGGGAGAAAGTGGAACTGAATGTCGGGGTGAGGCACCCCAGGCTCGCTCCGGATGAAACCCCCAGATTCCAGGTGGGCAGTGGCTCCCTCACCTGGGAGGGCAAAGGACGGAGAAGATGCTGTTAAAATACCTCCAAAGAGCAACAAGTCCACTTGGTTTTAACCTGTAGATGCCCTACCATGAATAATTGATTTGTACAGCATTAATTGCGAGGAATGCAAATGCATTATGAGCAGCTTGCAGTTTAGGCACTGTTCACCACTTTCATCTGCCTTTAAATTCCTGGATAAATGTAAATATGCATAACTTTGGAAATCCCACTGATGTGATAATGGGGTGTTAGAGTTATCTCACTGGCTCTGCCTCCAGAAGCAGATTTGGATCCTAACAGGAGTGGAGGGAACTGGCTGCACATCCTCATGTTCCTGCACTGCTCACTCTGTGCACTCCAGTTATCCCATCAGTCACATGGAACAGGCAGAGCATCCACAGTGCCTGCCCTGAAGGGAAAGATAAAGCCCTGCAATGTGCCTTATGTTATTTTCATTTCTGTTTAAAAGGGAAAGTTAGCCCTCAATATTTACTTGCATGGTAAAAAGCCACATATACCCAGAATAAGTTGCCAAATAGTAACAAAATTCAGCTAGTTATGTGGAGCTCAACTTTGGCCAAGCTATTTTACTGCCATCAAGGATTATACTTACTGATTCTTTTTAAGGTACAATTTATGACTAAGGTACTGTAAAATTCATGTGTCATTCTAAGGAAAGGCAATTCACATTTACTTACAGGGCAAAAGGATTCTGATCAGAGCAACAAACTAATTCTTTTGAGACAGTTATGCAGAAGTCAGTTCAGTAATATGTTTTTATTGACATCACATTGATTTAAAATAGAGTATTTTCTCCATCTTTTTTGCAATAGCTTTTCTTGGGAGCACTCATTTTTAAATGTAGATATAGAAATGTTAATAATAACCTCTTTCATTACCTAAGATACAAAATCTTTAAAATATTCCGCTACAGAAGAAAAGAAATAGTTCAAATCCATTTGCAAATTCCAGTTATTTCTCAGAGCATGAAAAAGATTATATATTAAGGCTCCATGCCTATAAAACTCACAGATAAAAGGCTGTCATAATTCTAAATCAGCCAGTGGTAAAATGATTGCACACTTTTCTTCATACCTGTGAACTTCCAGAGCCATTCGAGGCCAATCCTCACCATGTTCAGTGGCTTTTGTGCACTGTACAGAGTAATAGGTTTGGTGCACTTCTGCTGGACATACACTTCTAAATGATCTTGCAGGTTCTGCCCTACTCCTGCAGGGGGTAGAAAGAGAGGAGGGAGAAGAAAGTGAGAGGGAAAAAAAAAGTTATTTTGCACAGAAAGATTGCCCACCATGTTTCAAGCAGAGAACATCTTAAGTGGGAACTAAACCAAGCTCTTACAAGGGCAGTGGTGACACAGACCAAGGCCATGAGTCACATCAGTCTTTTGCTCATGTCAGAATAAGGTTTTACATAACTAGAATGAAAATAGTTACATACATAACTAGAATAACAATACTAGTTACATACATAACTGGAATGAAAATGGGAAGTTAAATGGAAGATATATCAGTTGTTGTAAAATTGCCACTACTTAGAAACACTGTGCTAACTTCTTTAGCTTTAAGGAAAAGTTCATGTTATTTCTTCTGTATTTGAATATTTATGACAGTGGGAGTTTACACAATGTGTAGTGGATCAAAACTAATTCAAAACTCTTAATGACAAGTGTACTACTTAATTATAAAAATATGCCTTCAGAAAGGCATTTTTTCACTGTCAGATGTGGTGAAGAAGGGAGTTTGTTGCTTAGTTCAAAAATCAATGCATGTTTCCACTGATTTGTATTAAATCAATACATCTTTCCACTGATTTCTAACAAATATGTTTTCAACATGTGTTTCAGGCTGCACAACTTGACATAAAGAAAACTCTGTTTCATTATTAATTTAATTTAATGGTCATTCAGTTACATCCATGGGAAGATGAAAGAAAGAAAAAGAATTACCAGGAAGATGGCAAACAACAGGGATCCCCAGTTTTTTTAGATCATCTGCATTTCCAATTCCAGATAACATAAGCAGCTGGGGAGAATTTATGGCACCTCCACTTAAAATAACTTCCTTATTGGCAAAAACCTAAAAGGAAATGAGCACAAAAGCCCTAAGATTATAAAGCCTGAGCTGAATGTGAGCAACACCAGGGGCTGCTGTTTGAATATGCTGCTCTGATCCAGATTAGACACCCTTCCCTCACATTTTCCTCATTTCAATGTATTTCTGTCTTGTCAGAATTTTCCACAGAGAGAAGTAATCAAGCTTTTTCTTTGATCATTCCTGTATTTATTCCCATCTTTACAATCCACTCAAACTGTATGGCACAGAAACATTCAGCTCCTGTCCTTGCCAGGGGAACAGCACCTGTGGCACTCAGATCAGGCAGCCAAGCTTCTCTGCCATTTTCAGTAACCCTTTATAAATTAAAAACTGGAATCTTAAGGAAGATTTGGAATTCACAGACTTGGTAGCTCAAAAGCTCTTAAGAGCTTTTTTTTTTTAAATTCAGCCAAGGTTAAGGTTTGATTTCTCAGCTCGTGATAGTCCTCAAAAGCCCTCCCCACCACTCACCAAAGCACTACTGATAAAATAGTAGCAGGCATAGATTGAATTTTGTTTTGCTGACAGTTTTTTCATCAAATGGTTTGGTCTGAGCCCTGAGCTGGTCATGACACAGGCTGCTAAATTATTCCTCTGCCTTTGACTTGGAGTTTTAACAGATTAATGCATATTAACTCGGAACCTTGTCCTTTTTGAATGACACCTCAGCTATACAAAAAGATGGCAAAATGTTGCTACAGTAACATCCAATGGTAATAATAATAAAAAGCATTTTGACACTATTTATCCAATATGGCCAACAGATGGCCAGTGCTGTTACCTTGTATTTGTTACTGCTTTGCTCTGGGCAATGATTAGCATGTTAAGACTAATAAACACTGTATCAGAGCCTGTTGAATCAATACTTAGAGCTGTATTTTGCATGTTATGCAAACTTATTTAACTTATTTACATTTTCCATGGAACACACAGAACTGGTACCAGTTTGTTCAGAGCAGCATTCAAATGATGCTTGCTCAGTCTAAATCCCCTGCAAAGTCAGCACTGCAGTTACTCCTGGCCCACACGAAGTTTTTCATAATGTCTCAGCTAACATGCTAAGAGGAAAAAGTGACTTTGATACACTTTTGTTTGAGTTAGTCTACAATACATTAAAACATTTTCATCCTTTATATGAAATATGAAGTATAAATATACTTTCCAGCTTGATTCTGTACTTAAAACCTCCAGGAATGTTCAGTCTACCTTTCCTACTTTCACTGGAGTCCTGGGAGATCTCTAGGACTTCAGTGTTAGACAAATAACAAGTCATTGGCTGGTGAACACATTCTGAATAACTTTTGAATCAGGTTTGACGATCTTTTCACTTTGCTGATGACTGACGTAAAAGAGATTATATCTAAAATAGACTGTACAAACAAAAACACTTTAATGTAGTCAATTGCTTCATCTTGATGGTCATAAAGCAATAAAATTATTAGTTCTTCCATCCTGACAGGTATAAAATTTTCCAGAAAGTAAAAGCAGATACTAATCCTGCAGTTTTGATGCTGGGGGAGGAAGGGGAGGGGGAAAGAAGGAAGGGAAATACTTTGAAGGTGTATTTTGTACAATACATGATATAAACATATATTATTAACTATGTAGAATTCATGCATATATTAGTATGTATGAAAATTCATAGCAATTGAAGAATTTTGCAATTAAATGGTCCAGTACTCAGAAAGTCTTTGGTCATGTGTAATTGGGTTTTCAAGACTTTCTTCAACAAAATTGAACTTGATAATGTCACGAGAACAGCAATTAGAGGTACTGTTTTCACAGAAATTTAATAGCTAATGAAATCAGTTAAAGGTTCTGCAACTTTTGTTTCATATTGGTAAAATGATTATCATTTGCAATCCACTTAGCAGCAGATTTGATCTGTGCTTTAGAAAACCAAAGAACAGATTATTTATACTGCATTTTAACTTCTGGCAGGTGCTCAGTCACAGAACTGTGCTCAGTCACTGTCTGCTGAGTTTTATAAGGGTTACTGAACTCAAACCACCCAGATCTGTACTCAGCTTTCTCTAGAATATTATTATTACACTTTCTAATTGTTTTATAGTCCTTTCTGACCAAATATCTTAGTTATTAGCATACAAACCCCTTTTAGGCAATATTCTGGTTACAGACTAATCCATAATCAGCTGTTAAGGGAAGTGAGGATGGTTTGGGTCTTACAGAGGTCAATGGATTGAAAGAGGCATAAAATGAGCCCATTATCCAGAATTTTGCAATAACAATTCAAGCTTCCTTCCACACAATCACATTTTCAGCAGGAGTTGGACTGAAACTGAGAAATATTCATTCCACAGCCAACCATAAGGCAAGATGTGTCATCTATCCCTTGAGCAATTCAGATTCCAGTATCTGGCTTTTACAGACTTTCCTCTGCCAGAATTGTTTTTCAGAAACATCCCCATTGCAGCACTCTGGTCAATGTACTGGGACAGGGCATGGTTGCACCACAGGCTCCAGGCTTACACAACACTCTGTGGAACATCAAGTTATGGCCTGTCCCCTCAGCACTGGCAGATGGAAATGTGATGATGAAGTTAATCTCTAAATCAGTGCAACTGGAATATATCATCTACTGCAAAATAACTGACAAGGAATCATATATTGTGAAAAACAACACAACCTCTAAAAAAAGGAGAACATTTTGCACAGTAAAGTGCCATTTTTAATAGACTTTTTTTAAAAATAGATATAATTTAGCTTTGATTCATACCTCTCATACTGAAAATTGAAAATCTCTTACCTTTTTCCTTTGCCCATTTTTCACATACTCAATACCAATGCATTTTGTTCCTTGGAACAAGATTTTTGTTACAAGTGTCTTCTCTGCAACTGAGAAATTTGGGCGTGATATGGCTGGGCGAAGATAAGCACTAGCTGTGCTCCATCTTTGACCTACAATGTATATTTGCATTAAACATCAAAACAGTCATGCTCAGTATGCTTCAGATTTTGGCCAATAACCACCAGGATGCCTACAGAGGGAAAGTCTTCACAGAGTTTATAGGGTTCAAAGCAAATGAGATTTGATATAATAATTAAAGATATTATTTTAACATAACAAATTTCACAATGACATAATTTAAGTGTGAATCAGGACTTTTCCACCAATGCAACTTGCAGTGAAGTGCGAGCACACCGATAGCAAGCTGCTGAGGGATGAATAGGTGTAAATACAGAGTGCCACAGCTGGGCAGTAACCTAAACACTCAAATGACATTCAGTGCAGATTAATGTCCATATTTCAACATTATTTCTGGGTCAGAAATAGACATTACTCAAGGACATTTTTCTGGTTTACCTTTGTGTATAGTCATGTCCATCCAGCCAAAGCCTTCCTGCTGGTACCCGTTCATGTCATCCGTGAAGGGGTACCCGGCTTGCTGGGCAGCCTCCAGGAACGCCTGATGGAGAGGATGGTTTGTTTTCCCTCTCGACACGTGCAGGGGGCCATTCCCACCCCTGTACCGATCCGGGCCCAGTTCGTGCGTCTGTGCCTTCTTAAAATAGGGCAGGCAGCGCTCGTAGTCCCAGCCCTGAGCGCCCTCCCTGTGCCAGCGGTTGTAATCCTCGGCGTGCCCGCGGATGTAGACCATGGCATTGAGGGACGAGGAGCCGCCCCACACCCTGCCCCGGGGCCAGTACATCACCCGGCCGTCCAGGTGCCTCTGCGGGGTGGTGTGGTAGTACCAGTTGTACCTCTCATCGCACAGGTTGTACGTCAGGGCAGCGGGCATGTGGATCTTCCACATCAGCCTGGTGCTGCCCAGCACGGTGTCCTTGGGGCCGGCTTCCAACAGCAGCACGGAGCTGTGCGGGTCCTCCGTCAGCCTGTTGGCCAGCACGCAGCCTGCGGAGCCAGCCCCCACAACGATGTAACTGTAAGAGTCTGTCTTTGCAGAGCTCAGCTGGGATGATGCGCGCGAAATTTGGAGTTGTTCATTGATGCCGAATGTGTTCTTTAACGTGTGTGCTCTAAACAGGCTCCCTGCTACTTTGCACATCACAGAACTGTGACGTTTAAATCCTTTCATTAAATATGACATCTTTACTGATAGTCACTCTTGCAAAATTTCTGACAAAAATCCAGTGGTTTACCCTAGAAAAAACCCAAAGATACTAATTAAAATGTAAGCATTACTACCACTAAAATGTCAGTCATTTTCAGGTGACAATGGTATACTTTACCCATTTGCACTACCCAAAAAGTTAACAACAATGGCAATAAACAGGTAAACATTATTATTATTAATTCATTCATTATTATTTATTTATTTAATTATTATTATTGTTATTATTATTATTATTATTATTATTATTTAGTCTCATTATTCTTTTAGTGCAGTCTATGCAGCAGTCAAATGTACTATCGTAAATTATATGTAGTCTGATTTTGATTTGCTTCTGATTTCTGAGACAGATGAATATTTTCAAGCATTTGCCAAACCCAGAAGCAGAAACTTTTGCATTCCTTGCAGTGTCTCTCTATTCAGCTCTAATAGGCAAGAATTTAAGAACAACAATTTCAAAAACTTCCCTGTGAGTCTGTGACAGTGATATGACACAAGGCAATTCACAATGGAAATGATGAGTATGCTCACTGCACATTCTGCCAGAGAGTGTCTCCACAGAACAAATGTGTAAAAAACTCATTTCCAGCTATCCCTAAGGTGAAAACTGCTGGATTTGCAGGTGTCTCCTAACACAGGGAAAGGCAAGATCTGTTCATCTGTGCCTTTCTACCTTGCTACTTAAACCCAGATTCTGCAAGAATACTCTGGGTACAGTTACAATTTAATGCCACCAGCTCCTTAGGCTGAGTAAGAATGGCAAGTGTTTTACTTTCAGAGCAGCCTGTGAGCGCTGCAAGTACCGCAGGTTCAGCTCTGTGTTGCACTGCTTTGGGCACAGGGACTCAGTGGTACATTTTCTGTGTTACAGGTCCTGGCCAGCCTGAAGGGTTTCTCCTGCTCCCTCCCCCTGAAACCATTCCTTTTGGTCTAAACAATTAGTGAAGTGAAGTGTTCTTGGACTGTAAGTAATATTTCTCCCTGGCCTATGACTTCAGTCTAAGGTGTTGTCCTGCATTCTAGAGACAGCAACTTATCCAGAGTCCACTACACTTATCTCTTCCAGCACTGCCCAGCTGAGAGAGATAAACAAGAATTCTCCTGAAATACGTTGAACCTTCTGTAACAAAATTAGGTGTAAATTGCTGCTAAATGTTAAAAACTTTCCATGCACAATTACAATTTTATACACATTAATTTGCAAAAGTATGTTCCTTTACTCTTGAGAAACAGATTGGAAGAAGCATAACTCTCAAACTTTTCTTAGAAAAACTTGTAGTAAACTTGTTTGAGGCTGTACAAACCCCAAAACTTCTGAATGAACAACCAACCATGGATAACAATTTGTTCTGTAAAGAAAAAAAAAAAAAAAAGATGCTGGGGATGTCTCTGAGCCTAAAGTTCACACAGCTGATTCTCCTCACATGGATAACTTGAAATTGTTCCCAGCTGGAGATGGGGATGTGTCAGGGTTTTTTTTGCAGGTGAAGTCTATTAAAGGATTCTTTCTTGAAGAAAAAGGTTTATCAGCTTCTTGTGATGCAGCAGAGGATGCAAAGGTAGGGAGGTTTTTATTTGTTTTGGTTGTGAGGAAGAGGGTTATGGTTTTGCAATACCTGTGTTTAACCTGCAGGACTGGGGGGACACAGGACTTTATTGATCCAGGAGCACTGCTTTGGTGGGGGAGTTGGTAGAATAGGGGCCTGGGCCCTTATAATCTGGAAAAGACAGACACTCTGTCCCAATAGGGAACTATAGTTTTGTGGCTAACTCTTCTAAATGTTGCAGCAGTTTTCTTCGCATTTTGTTGTTATTTTACTTCAAATGGAACAGGACTGGCAGAACAACACGTGAGAGAATTTTTGTCTTGCAGAGAGAGCTGGGAGTAAAATCAGTCAGCAGTGTCCTGGCCATAACAGTGAAGTGACTTTGGCAGTCAGTGTGTAGATGATTCACAAACCTTGGTGCTTTTGAGTTCTGAAGTGCAGAGGTCAAAAATTAAGTCAGTCTGATTTGATATAAATCTAGCACACTTGTTTTGATAGAATGGATTAAAACACTAGTTTTAATGGAATAAAATACTAGTTTCAGTGCACAATTCTTTTTGCCACATTGATTCACACCCACTCTCTTCTTTCAGTGGTCCCTTTGCAAGAGCACTATCCTAACCTCATTTCTTCTAAACTGATCCTGAAACAAAAAGGAGAGTGAAACAAAAAGGAGAGTGCCTGGGACACTTACTCCCTGTTCTGTTGACAGAGGAGGAACAAGAACATTCTCTCTGGCAGATGGAAATCATGACCCTCTCCCAGAGATGTTCACAGCACAGACAACACATAATGTAGCGGAGCAATGGGGCTTTGTCAAGATGTTAACCCTTCATGTTACCACCGAGTGCTGTCAGGCCTGACTGTGCAGGGCAGGAGGAAGAGCTCCGCAGGCTAAAGCAGATCTTGTTTTTTCTTTCTTTGTTTTTCCCTGCTGCAGGCAGTGTAACAGGTTTAAATGTATCTGCTGCAGAATGTTTCGGACTAACTTTCCCTTCATTCCTGCTAGGAAGAAAGTTCATTCACTTTCAAAAACATCGTGGTGAGTTTCATTTCCAGGGCTGGAAGAGTTTAAGCCGACTTACCTCGCCGCTTCCTCCTCCGCACAAGCGTCTGTGGGCTCCGGCGGCTCCGGGCTGCCCGCGACCCCGCTATGGGGCTCCCGAACCGGACCGGGACCGCGGCGGCTCCCGAGCAGGAGGGAGATGGGTCCGTCCCGGTCCCGTCCGCAGGTCAGGGCACCCACAGGCCGCGTCTGTCCCAGCCCGGGGAGGCCGCTGGGGTGCGGGGGCTGCCGCCGACCCTCGGAGACGGCCCAGCGCGGCGGGCGGAGCGCGGGGAGGTCCCTGCAGCGCGGGGGCCCGGGCGGGAGAGTCCGCGGGGAGGCCGGGCAGGAGCGCGGCTGGGACTTCCCCCGGAACGCACCCTTTGGCCGCTGTGCGGGCTGTGCAGGAGCGGAAAGCGCCCCGAGGGGCAGCGGGCGAAGTGCTCGGCCTCGCCCATTCCGCCCGAGTCCCCGGGCGGCTGCGCTGCCCCGCCGGGACTGGGCTGCCAGCTCCGCCAGGTACTCGCGGTACAGGGCTGCCAGCTCTGCCAGTGCCACCGGGATGGGGCTGCCAGGTTCCCCGGGACGGGGCTGCCAGCTTTCCCCGGGACAGGGCTGATAGCTCCGCCAGTGCCCCCGGGACAGGGCTGGCAGCTTTCCCCGGGATAAGGTTGATAGCTCCGCCAGCTTTCCCCGGGACAGGGCTGCCAGCTTTCCCCGGGACAGGGCTGATGGCTCCGCCAGTGCCCCCGGGACAGGGCTGGCAGCTCCCCCGAGGAGCTCCGGGGCGCGGGGCAGACCCAGCCCCGCGCAGAGGCGACCTCACCCCGCTCCTTCCCGGAGCGCTCCAAGTTTTTCACCCCGCTCTTAGCGGGGCAGGAAAAACCGTTTTTCGTTTCGCTGCGAAAAAGCTTTCAGTGGGAGCGCTGGGAGCTGCAAGGCGGCTGGGGATGACACCCCGGGTGTCCCCGCTCCGTGCCCGTGCCCCGCTCCGGCCCGGCGCTGACAGGAGATATCTCTGTATGGAGGAGCGCTGGGCGCAGTGCTCGAAGGCAGCCCCTGAAAGTTGAGTTGAAACTTGCAGTTGAAGGCTTTAATTGCGATCCTTACCTATGCAATGCCTTTAATTAATTGCGATCCTTACCTGTGCAATGCGTGCTCCCAGGAGAAAGCCTTGGTTAAAGTGAGAGCAGCAAACGCGCTGTCCCGCCGGGCCTGCCTGTGCTGGCTGATTCGTTACCTCAGCAGTGACGATGTTCGGGTTTGGTTATAGCACTGAAAAGTGTGTGTTCAATCATAATTCTAAACAGTTTCCCGCTGGGTAGGAAGAAGAACTAGTAATTCCACAATAGAACTCGGATAAGTTACTTCTCTACTGGCTTTGTCCACTGAATATCTTCAGTATATGCTAATGCAGTGCATTCTCATTGTAGGCAAAACTGCATTAAAATGTGCTGGTAATGAGAGTATCTCAAATTCCCTGAGAAGTGGCCAGGGATTGGTATTGTGGGAAGAGGCAGTACCACTCTGGGAGGGTTATCTCGGGGGTCTTGTTTACCCTTTCAGAACAAAGCTGATATAATGAAGACAAACCAAGATTATTGTGACATCTTGTACTTTTTCCTGACATCATTTAAGGACAATGGACTTTGCTGCAATATCTTTGATGTTGCTTCTAGATGCTGGGTTTTTTTCCATGTCCTTCCTTACCATTCATCTCAGAACGTATTGAACCATTATTAATTTTCTAGCTTAATTACTTGTTCATGTTTTTGTTAATAGATAAGTAGATAATGGACAGTCTCTGGGTGATTGGTTATCCACACTCAAGCACCACATTCCAAACTTCTGAATAATTATTCATTAACGGAAAAGAGTAATTGTTCCCTGTGGAACTGTGAGTAAACGTGTACTTGATATAAGTGGTCTTTAATCTTTGCAGTGATTAAGAATTCTTGAAACCAAACTGATGTGTGCTTGCAGTGCTGGAAAAGTTTTGTACACTTTCAATGCTGTTATTTGGTAAGGAAATAAAAAGTCTATAGAAAACATGCACTAAATATGTATAACAGTATAGAAGTTTCATGAAGTAACAGAGGCATTTCAGCAGTTAAATACGGGTAGATGTAGAGCACAAGATTCTAAGTTCATTGTTTGGAATGTGAAAAAATAGAGGAGCTTCCACTTCATTGTAAGGGCTCCTGCAGGTATCCACTATTTCACTGGTTTGCAGGCTAGAAATTGGTGATCTCACCCCTTTGTTACCAACTGAATCATACACCTGGCCTTTAAACAGATTTTTGAGACTTCTGTGCAGGTGAATTTGCCGGTTTTTAATGCATGGATACCTGAATATTTATCATTCTCAAGTCAGTATTCACTGC